CACTATCTCCAATGTGTTTAAGCTTTTCGTAGAGGTAATTATCTCCCCCACCCCGAAACTGCCCTGGTATGGCCGAGAGTGGGGAGAGTCCGCTCTCCCACTCGAAATGCTCTCACATGACCACGTGCATACAGCCACTGCCAGATAAGTCCTACTCACTGCCTTCTCGCGGCTGTTTACGAAATTGAGAGGACGAAAAGCGAATATCCAGCACTTTAACTGGGTTGATGGATGCTTTGTTTGAAGGGATTACGAATTCACCTAGTCTGCGAACGGAACAAACACTCTGTGACCGAAGACCAATAAGCTAGCTATTCTGATGCGTCCCAGCCCCGCTAACTAAAGAGAAAAGTCCAAATTCGAAACAGGGAAATATATTCCACAAGCAGCCAGAAGCGCGAGTAATCCCGATATAACAGTGGACACGGAGAGTCCACCTAGGGGAGTTGGAAAACTTTGAATACAAACCAATGGTGCACATGAGCTCCAGTATCCTGAAGGAACAAATGGCGTATGAACTATTTCTTGGTCACCGGCTACCATGAGACTGCGTCTCCTGACGTTGCTCCACTGCCTCATGAATCAGACGTTTAAGGCGAAGGCTCCGGATATGGCCCTCTAAGAAAACCACGTGCTTCGGTCTAGGCGTTCAGTCAGTATCACAACCCACACACAAATCAAACGACTTATGTGGAGCCTATGTATTCGGTGCCCATTTGTACCAATATTTATGTGGTCAAATAATTAACTTATCATCCTATACCAGATCATTTGTTTTAAATTTCTTTTTTTGTTTTTTTGTCAATGTATTCCACCAATTTAAATGGAATATTGTAATTGTACATTTTAAAGTTATATGAAACACCTAAGAGCAATTCATTATCTAATCAAATATACACTCAGAGAATATTCGGCAGATTATAGTGTGGAATATATCTGAGTTTTATCAATTTCTGTTAAAGATCCTTTTACTGATTTTGCATTGTGTATAATAAGCATAATCCCATTAGGTGACAACACAAAATGTAGTATTTATGAAACCGTTGAGCATAAATCGAAGAATGTTTACGGTGACCTTTATATGTGCCAAATATAAGGTAATGCATCATGATCTATCTGCACCAACGCTTAGTTTAGGATTAATGTAGTGGAGTGGTTGAGTATGTAGAAAGTTCCACATATCTAGGAAGATTCGGTGTCATTTAGTAATCCGTTTATTCATAATCAACTTAGGACTTGATATATATTCCGTTCTAGGTTGCAAATTTACAGTCCCAGTGAGGTGTTTAGGTTTTCATCAATGAGCATAGGTGTGAGTAAACCACAAATACACTAGATGTCTTTGTAAAGTAATAAATTACTTGATGAGATTGTGAATCTTCACCGACTGAGATGGTTGGGCCACGTGTTGCGTGTGCCTGAACACCGATTACCACGACGCGCAATGCTAACTGGTGTTGGAGACGGTTGGAAGAAAGTTAGGGACAGCCAAATAAAAATGTGGCAGTCCTTGAAGTCACTAACTTCTAGTCTGAGCCATGTTGGTAGATGCAGACTACTTGGTTGTGGTCCGCGTAACTATAGTAACCAATGGTTGGAGACTATGGGTGACATGGCTCAGAATCGATCACAATGGCGTAGGTGTATACACTCTGTCTTCCCTTAAACTATGAGATTAAAATCGCTTCATATCTTTCTTTCTACGAACTAATTCCTTCTTCCTGTACAATATCCTTATACACAATCTCACTTTTGTACATTACTACCATTGAAGTGACTACTTCTATGAAGTTGGTGTTCATCTTGTTGTGCTATTGAGGTATGTCAACTTGGACCGATGCACATATGTACCTGGTCCTACATTGTGCCTGACTGCGTGAAAGTTGGCTAAATGTGGTGAAACCATCTAGTGAGCAGAGTTGAATTGTGGTGGAAAGTATTAAGGGTTAAAAGTACCCATAACTATAGCGATCAATAACAGTTTACCTCAAACAACTGTTGTTGATTTCTCCCGAAATCTTGTCACGGATTCCGAAAGCTCGGTTAGAGTTAACCAGCTTAACTCACTTATGGCGTAGTCGAGATTTCCGTCTCTCAACCAAGTAGCGTGTGTATTCAGAATTCTGCTCTGTTCCACTTTAGAGTTGTGAAACACGGTCAATGAAAGTAGATATTCGTCGGTTCTTGAGCATAGATGTCTTCGAAGAATTGCTCGAGTGTCGTGGAATGACCGAATGAGAGATACTCAGGTTAGGCATAAGGTAGTTGGCAAGTCGCTCGATGAGGCAGTGAATATGTATTACGTATGTCCATCTACTGACTACCTCAACGCGCAATAATGGTTAGTATAGTAGATCGGAAAGCTAGGAGAGGCCAAACCAAAACGCGACATCAGTCCATGAGGTCATTGACTGAAGGCATGAGTAGGTATGTGGATGGTATTTGATTGAAGTCCGTGACTTGTGGCCGTTGAAATCACCGAAAATCGTTCACAGATCAGTCCATTCTTTATCTTCCTGTTGAGTTACAGTACTACTTCATACATACCTTTTAACTCGGTCCTTTCAAACCACCTTCCCAATATATAGTTTTTCTTATCATTGCTACTACATCGTTCCGATTTCTTTATTTTCATTTGATCGTGCTAACCAATATGGCAACTTTGGTTAATGCACATCTGTGTCATTCTCTATGTTGATGTCTAATTTTAAACACCCATCACTTTGATTCCGTCTGATCTTGGTGTGCCTGCATCCAGTTAATTGCGAATCAATGGAAATTGTATTCTTATAAATATGATGTTACGCAAGATCATCTCATTACTATTCGGTACATGTGTCCAACTCTCGTTTTTGACCAACTAACTATACCCACTTCATATATTTATACTTCATAAGTAGATGAAGTGTTAATTGTCATGTTTTACTTGTCTTGTGGTGTATGCTACTTATGTCTGTCGACATAAGTAAGATATAACACCAGTCGGAAGTGGAAGACTTGACAGAAGTCTTTGAAGAGAACGGAAACGGAATTAGAAAGGAATTGTGAGTCAGAAGAATCATACAGAATGTAAAAGACAAATGACGGAAATTCGCAATTGAAGTATTCAATGGATGGTTCTCATATTTTACCAAGATACTCTATCCCCACTTATATTCTTGTTCACAACGATTTTGGCTAGTTGTTATTCCTAGACTTTCATACGACAGTCTGAAGTACGAGTTTGAAAAGAATGCCTGTAAATAAAGCAAAGTGGTTAATTACCTTATAAATTCTAAGCAATGAGAATTGGATAATTAATTAGTTTGTGAATTGAAGTAATGGGTATTATACATTACAAATTTCATTACATTACTTCCTTCTCGATATCCTATACTAATCCAATAAGATAGGAAGAAACTGAGGATGAATCAATCAAAACATGAAAACAGTTTATAGAACAATTTATTTATTTGATCGAAGCTAAAGTTATCATGGTGTTGAATGTCATCCGTTGAAAAGTAACTGAAATGGTTCCTGACCGTTGTTGCTACTTTGACGTGGTGGTCGGACGGAGGTTGATTATGGATACAGTGGTCTCGAGCGCTGTTAGAGGTATGAGGGCGGTTATCATTTCCAGGTTGCCCACACCGTGGAAAGGTTCTTCTGGAGGGACCCGAAAAGGAAAATGGATTAGAGGTGGTCTTAGTGACCTGAGAGCGTAACCGCAGTGCCCAAGGGACAACTGCTTGAGGTCGGTCACACACGACCTTTTTATGAGTAATTTTTGTGTTAGCTCCGTACTTGTTGAGACCTTACCGCGTGGTGGTCGGGCCTGCCTATCGTGATGACCCAACCGAGCTATACTGGCTGCAACAACCGTTCCTCAAGATCCTACCATATCAGATAGGTCGGTTGGAGAGCGGTAAAAGTAAAAGCAACAAACCCAAGGTCCGAAGGCGAAATCGTACTGCTGACTGTACAGAGGTGTGACAGCAGTAAGGTGTTTCCTTCAGACAACCAGCATGGTATCGATGCTGCCTTCCCACAAGGAGGAGTGGGGGGTTAGAAAAGGTCGACCCTAAAAATGCACACCGCCTTATCCCATGGATATCCGTCTCCGGCGGTAAGGTCTCAACAAGTATGGAGCTAACACAAAAATTACTTATGAAAAGGTCGTGTGTGACCGACCTCAAGCAGTTGTCCCTTGGGCACTGCGGTCACGTTCTCAGGTTGACAAGACCACCTCTAATCCAATTTCTTTTTCAGGTACCTCCAGAAGAACCCTTCGATGATGTGGGCAACCGGGAAGTGATAATCGCCCTCATACCTCTAACAACACTCAAGACTGACTGAACTGAAATGGTTAAATAAATGATGATGATAATAATAATTCTTGTTTGTCTTAATAAATTAGTGTACTTATCGATTTTATTTCTTACTAATTAACTGACTTTATGTATAGTAACGAAATACTTTTCTATGATTGAAAGTTTAAAACAATATAAGTCAGTCAGCAACTACGTAGAACTTCGTACAAACGTACATCAGTTCGAGTTGCCATACCGCATTAGCACAGAGATGCAGTTGTCGATTCACATCCCGTAGTGGTAGAGGTAGTAAAAGTATAAACAGTAATCAGAAAGATTAAGGTTTGAAGATGTTAATCAATGAGTATAATACAGTGAAATAAATTTGGGAAGAGAAAAAAGAGACAAGGAGGAATCAGGAGATTAAAATTTGGGAGAACATAAAGAGTGTATGCACCTGCACCATTGCAAACGATTTTCAGCCATGTCATTCAGGGTCGCTAACCATCGGTTGCTATCATCTCGCGATCCCCAACTAGGTAGGTAGTCTACACCTACCAACATGACTCAGTCCACTTGTCAGTGACTTCATGGACTTGTGTTCCATACAACTTATTCAAATTATATTCATATTCATTAGAAAACTATTTGTCATTTAATAATTTTGGTTTATTTATTAACAAATTGATTATATATTAACCAAGTTAATCATTACACATTATACTTTAAAAAAATCAATTGTGAATCATTTCATTTCACATAGGAATTATACATCTAAGATTATTATTCATAAATATGACCATTACATTCCGTTTTAGAAGACATCCATGCCTCGATTTCTTCAATAGTCCGTGGAACATCTGTTAACAATTCATAACCAGTTTCAGTGACAATAATATTATCTTCAATTCTTACCTAGAAACAACATAACATAATATTTACAAAGGCTTAAATGACAATGTCATGTAGCATATTGATTCCATGGGGAAAATTTTCATTACTTTTATTAAACTGATGTATTACCAGAAGTGAAAAGGTTTATATCTATATTAAAAGTATATTAGAAGATAAGAAACATACACGGATCACTGAATATCATAAGAAACAAAATCCTGTTGTGTTGCTCTACCTTGATTAAGAAAATTCTACCAACACTAAGCACCAGACTAAAATTATATCCATCTAAGCATTTCAGTTTTATGGGAGGTCAGTCGTGGTTAAATGTGACAATAGACGATATAGGTTAGGATATCAGAGTGCAGTACATTCTACTAATAAGTGTAGACTATCATGAAACGTATACTAAGCCTAGCATCCTGACAACAAACGTATATAGTCGCGTCGACTTAGTCAAGTCAAGCGCGGTTTGATGATAGGAAACACTAGCTGACGATACGGTTATGTCGTAATGCTAATTGACGATAATAATAAGTTACAATACTGAACTCCTGAAATTCAAATTTCGGACGGCAGAAATATCGCCAAACTACTGGAGCCCATATGCATCATTGGTTTGGAATCAGGGTTTTCCAACTCCCCTAGGTGGAACTGCATATCCACCAACCTGTTTAAAGCGCCGAACATTCGATTTTCATCCTCTGAATCTCATAAACAACATTAATGCCGCGAGAAAGCAGTGAGTAGGACTTCTCTGGCAGTGGTTGTATGCACGTGGCCACATGAGAAGTGGTGATAGAACAAACGTAATGATGAAAGCAGTTTCTATCAAATATCAAGCATTTCAGTGAGGCCTATAAATATTCCATGGACAATTGTTGATGGAAACATAACTGTATGAGATCTGTTGTACCTTATGATAGTTGACTCATCGTCTAAATGATTACTGATAATCTAAATTTAAGAAATCCATCTGTCATTTAGAACGGAATAAAAACGACAAGATGTAAACATAGAAGTTGGAAATCCGAATTTTGAGGTATGTTATAAACAGTGGAAACAGAATTGTAATCCCATTAGAAATCGGACGTTTTCTTTGAAGGGGATAAGAATTGAATGCCCTAAATTTTGCGAAATCAAGGTTTTATCACCTTAGTCCGTATATTTATTAGAAGGGATTGTATAAGTCAAATGTCTGAAATTAAGACAGATTAATTTAAACGTTAAAAAAAGAAACATTCTTCAGTCAATTACTTACACCACCAAATTTTCTAAATCTTTCAATTTGACCTCTGTCAATAAATTTACTTAGTATATCCGACGATAAGGCTTGATTTAATAAGCGTTCAATGAAATAACATCCTGGTTCAACTGTCATTACCATATTGGTTTGTAATAGTCGAGCTGTACGTAGATTTTTTAAACCTGGCTGTGAACTTCGAGATGGAGTATCCTAGGCCAAAAAAAAACATAACAAAGTTTGTAGGAAGTATGGCATGATTTCTTTAGAAACAAAGCATAATTAAGATTATAATAGAAGTTTTGATAATTTATGTTCCTGTGAGGGTGGTCTACGGGTGAACTCGAGAAAGCTGTAAGAAGTTCAGAGAGAGAGAGCCGAAGATATTCCATCCAGTCACCTTGGAGAAGAATATTCTAGAATCTCTACGTGTAGCTTCCCTATCGGACAATGCTAATAACCCTATGTATGCGGATTAGATAGCTATAATGATGATTTCGTTTTTACTAAAAACTATAAATATCTGACAGTTTTGTACTATAATTTGACACTGTTTGGAACAGCATTCCTTTCATTTGTCTTCTGTCTTCTCATTTGCGACTTGGAAGGGTTCTAGAGTTCAAGTGCTCAAGTTATACGCGGCATATCAAGAATCTAATCTCTAGATATAACAGTTCCCAACAATTATATCACGGGAATTGATTTCTTTTTAATATACAAAGTGAATGTGTAAGAATAGTACTGTAATAGAATTGATTCAGTTCAATGTGACATTCACTTGAACTGGCACTGATATCCATATCAAAATAAAAACTGAAACCTTCCATTTCATGTCATTTGGTATTACTGATTATGTATCTGATTATAGTCAGAGTCAATAAAGAAGAACTTGACGTCGTGTCAAATAGATTTGTATAATACCAGATAAATCATATAAGAACCAAAATAACATTCGTATTTCTTTTTTGCACTAGTGAAATGCTAATTTGCTTAGGATAAACAATGAATCATTTATTTGCTTATACTATACAACTGCACTATACTAGATAGATATCAAGGCTGGCAATTATCTTACCAGGGGCTTCAATACAACTACTCAACTTAAGAGTACATGATTCTGCTAACTAGTACGTGTGTTAGCCAACAAACAACACTCAAGTAAATATATATATGTAGGTATAGATATACAATGCTATAGAATCAAAATCCCCATGGTTACATATAACACATTTAGTATGTTTTGTGTCCAGTATTTTCAGTTATCTCTCAATGTATGTAACAGATAGCAAGGCACATATTCAAGTGAAATGTTAATTTTAAACCTTAAATCTTATCATATTTGTGTTCTCATACAAAACATAGGCTGTGGTACACTGGACATGTTTATAACATATAGTTGACATAAAATCTTGATTACAAAAGCAAATACAAGTAGTACACAGCGTTCACCTACTAGATGAATGAAAAAATGACTGAAAGTGCTGGGTATGACATACTTAATAATGAACATTGGAAACGTTGTAGATAACTAACTGGACTCAAAAGAAAATATATATCCTTACATTTAAATAACCTCCAACATCATGTACATCGCATCCAAGTAGATGACCTAATCCATGTGGCATAAATATAGCACCCAGTCTTGATTTCATCATTTCATTAATATCACCCAGAAGTAGACCACCTTCTCTTAGATGAGTAAGAATTTCTCGTTCAGCTAATTGATGAAGTTGAACCCAATCAGCACCTGGTTTAATTTCATTTAACACGGCACTGGAAATGTTATATTTTTAGAAGAATTAAACTGACAGAATCAACAATAAGTATATGTCAGAATGGGTTTTGTGAAGATTTTTAGAAATTTCACTAGTTGAAATCATGAGTCATTTGAAGGTCCTGGGTTCGAGTCTCGCGCGGTGCGGGATCGTGGATGCACACTGCTGAGGAGTCCCATACTAGGACGAAACGGCCATCCAGTGCTTCCAGGTTTTCCACGGTGGTCTAGCTTCAATTGACTCATGATTTCAATAAGTATATGTTCCAGTTTCACGTCATATTGTTTAAAATTAAGTGATTATTCGCTAAGCAAAGAGGAAGATAAAGTTGACAAAAAGTCTCACAACTGAAAATAAAAACACTAGTAATTAATTTTGAAATACATTTTCTGAAATTCTAGTGAAAAATAGTGACTAGTAGATTTACAGCTTAAAGAATGAGATAGATACAGGTAAAAACGATGACACTAGATGAATGGTAGCTAGCAGCAAAACTTAAGACGTGCGTTTATTCCTTTTTGGAATACGTCAGCTGGATGTGCCTCAGTCAGTCAGTCAGTAACAACGTAGAACTTCGTACGTACGTACATCATTTCTAACTGCCATATCACATTAGCACAGAGGTGCAGTTGTCGATTCAAATCCCGTAGTGATAGAGGTAGTAAGAGTATAAGCAGTAATCAGAAAGATTAAGGTTTGGAGATGTTATTTAAAGAGTATAATACAGTGAAATAAATTTGGGAAGAGAAAAAAGTAGACAAGGAGGAATCAGGAGATTAAAATTTGGGAGAACACAAAGAGTGGATGTACCTGTGCCATTGCAAACGATTATGAGCCATGTCATTCAGGGTCTCTAACCGTCGGTTGCTATCATCTCGCGGTCCCCAACCAGGTAGTCTACACCTACCAACATGACTCAGTCCACATGTCAGTGACTTCATATATTTGTGCTATGTTTTGATCTGGCCGCCCCTAGCTTTCTTCCAACCTATTCCTACACCATAAAGCATCGCTCTTCGGGACGTTTACTATATTTAGATAAGATGATAGTGAACAATAATATCAACTATTGGGTTCCCGAGAAGCTTATTAGAATCGTAAGTGTATGTATAACACAGAAGATTCCCAAGAGCAAGCAAACTACAACTATGGAGTGTTATCTTTCTCTGATTTTAAGCTTTCGCCAATTACGCATAGAAAATAATTTCAAAATTGAACTAATCTTCTAAAACTAAGTAATTTATAGGAAAGTAAATAATTGAAATTACCGTGATGCACATAGTACAGCATTGTAAATTAACTTTTGATCATCAGTAAATCGGCCATTCACAGGAAATGAACAAGTAATATCTGAAGAGTAGCAATAATATTCACCGCCCATATCAAATAAACACATTTCACCATCCAGAATTTGATGTTCATTCGGTTTACCTGCATGACCATAATGGAGTACAGCACAATCACATCCTCTAAAATATAAGTTGTTTTTTTTAAAAAAAAGATAAACTGTGGTGTAGTTGAAATAACACTCAACTTTCTCTCTTACACAAATAAGACGACCCCAAATGCCTTGGTACGGCCGAGAGTGGAGAGAGTCGGCTCTCCCGCTCCAAATGCTCTCACATGGCCACACGTATATAGCCTCTGCCAGGGAAGTCCTACTCACCGCCTTTTCGTGGCGGGGGTGTTGTTTACGAAATTGAGAGGACGAAAAGCGAATGTCCGGCGCTTTAACCAGGTTGGTGGACATGAAGAGTTAACCAACGGGAGTTGAAAAACCCTCATTCCAAACCAATGGTGCACATGGGCTCCAGTATCCTCAAGGAACAAATGGTGTATGAACCAATTATTGTTCACTGGCTACCATGGGAATGCATCTCCTTACGATGCTCCACTACCTTGTGGATCAGACCTTCAGGTCGAAGGCTCCGGCTGTGGCCCCCTGAGAAAACCACCTACTTCTGTTTTGGCACCCGGGCAGTATCACAGCCCTCACACATATCGAATGAGATTTGTGTGGCGTATATGTATTTGGTGCCTCTTTGTACCAACATCTATGTTTTAAAATAAATAAATAAAATACCCTGAACGAATATCTACACTAGATACCTTCCCAGTGTCTATTCTGCAGGACTTCAACACAATTCAGATCAAGAACACGTAGCTGGCTTGACTAGAACACAAGTATATTTTCACGCCAACAATCACAATTTGTACTTTTCACTTATTATGTAATCGTCTTCATTGTTATCATTGACTCATAATCTGCCTTGATTGGTTTAATAATTTTGTATATGCATATAAATATTACAGTATATTAGAAGTAAAGCCTGATGAAGACCTAATCGAAAACAATATTGTTCGCTTATATATGTTGTTCCAAATCACAATTGTAATAATAAGGGTATGAAAATATATAACTCATATAACGCCTGTCAAACTTTTTACCAGTCTGACTTGGCAAATAACCAATCATTATTTTACTTGCCCATACATCAGTAGGACCGTTGATAATTTATATAGATCAAATCAAGTGAATATCAACTGTGGGATGCAGATACATCCAGCTGACGAGTCACAAATAGGACGAAACGCGCGTCCTGGATTCCACTGGTAGCCACTATCCATTTTCGCTTAGAATGCTTGTAAATTAAGGCAATACGCACAGTATGTACATATGCCAATAACAGACTGATCAATTGTAATCCTAAGTATCAATGGGAACATTCAAGTAAACAGTACCAAGTGAATAAAAATGAAATTATTGTAAAAATTAGAAAAGCTTTTATGTAAGCTTAATATCACTGATTGGCTTTCAAAGAGATCTTTCGTCAGACCAAAAGATTATATTTATGCTTCAGACGTTTTTAACTACTCGTAATACTAGTTTAGTAGTATGAAATTTTATAAGAAATATTAAATAGCTGTATGGTTACAGTTAAATTATTGAAAGTAAGGTACTATGCTAGTTGAAACTCATTAACAACAGATATTTACGATTATTTTTGAAAAGATTCTCTTCTCTCAATCCTGCACAAATTCTAGGTACAGAGTTTTCTGTCAATTACATCCGATCATCTAACCTTCAAATAAAGTGTACACGATCTCGAGTCATTCAGAAGGCTAGTAGACACATGATTTGATCAGCACTAAGGACTCGACACAGAAAATATTGTTTCTGAACTAGTGAACGATCGGGATAAGGGACAGATAAACTTAATCGCTCAATAAAGAAAAAATACACAACGAAATGAATTACTTACGTAGCTGCAATACATGTATAGCTCATATGACGCATACCACCATGGAAGTAGCAATAATGTCTGAAAATACTTTCTGCCTGATATTGATACATTCCCGGTTTAATTGAACGCATTAAGTGACGATGTGCAGCACTACTTATACGATTTGTGTAACGGATGACATCCAACTCCATATCAGTTTTGATAAGGCGACTGAAAAATGTCAGTAAAATAGTAGAAGGTACCGGGTCAATCTGAACATTGTTATGCCAATAAGTTTAGTGAACAAGAGTTGTTTGGTAAAAACACTGGACTATGAATAACTCGGCAATAACAACCTTAACGGAGATTCAAAATTGATCAAGAAGAGGGATAGAATAAGTTTCTTTGAAGCGGTAACGATAGTGTAATCATCAAAAGGACGAAATCCCAAAAAATTAGGATGCCTAATACACATAGTATTTTTCTCAGTTAGTCACAACGTAAAACCCGTACGTATGTATATCGGTTCAATTTTCTATATCCCATTAGCACAGAGAGATAAGGTTGTCAGATCGAATCCCGGAATACTAGAAGTAGTAACAGTATCAATGGTAATAGAAAATATTAGGTATCGAAGATACAACTCAAAAAGAATATATAAATTAGTGAAATAAAAACGAAGTTATGAGAAATTCAGAATCTCAGGATTTGGGGCAAGACAAAGAATAAATGCACTTGAGCCATTACAAACTATTTTGAGCCATGTCATTCAGTCACTGACTATTGGTTACGATAACCACACGGACCCCAACCAGGTAGTTTGTACCTGTCTGCATGATTAAGTACATCTTTAGTGACTAACTACATTCAACTGAGAGCCCCACTACATTATTTGGTTATCTTAATCCTAAAATTAATGGACCAATAATAATAGATAGAATATTCAAAAACTTTTATGATAAGAATACCTAGAATCAATATTATCAGTACGATTTGTATATTAGTATGGTTTATTACTGATAGTGTTTAGTTTTTTCAACGGATAGATCACAGGTCAGAAACCCAATGTAACCACTTCATATAAGGTATACGAGTAGTAACCATTGGTCTTCATGCCTGCGGTATGCCGTGAAGTCACATACGTGTGTTTTTAGTTGATAAGGCTGTGAATCATAATTGATTAAGGTGGTCGAAATGCATTACATATGTCTAACTACCACGTAACTCGAAACGTAATATTGGTTGGTATACAAGTAGGCTATAAGAAAATTAGAGGTAAGTAAACTAAGAATTAAGATCAGCCCGTAGAGTTTAGTAACTTTGGCCTAATATGTTAGTAGGTAAAATACTTGATTTGAGTTGGGACGATCAGTGGTTAGAAATGTTGGACAATATGGTTCGGAATCAGTAGAAATGTTATGGAAAACATTCTTTACTTACACCTTTTCATAATCATAGATATATTATTTTTTATTTTATTTTAACACATAGATATTGGTACAAGGAGGCACCAAATACATATGCGCTACACAAATCTTATTTGATATGTGTAAGGGCTATGATACTGCCCGGGTGCCCAAACAGAAGCAGGTGGTTTTCTCAGGGGGCCACACCCCGAGCCTTCGACCTGAAGGTCTGATCCACAAGGTAGTGGAGCATCGTGAGGAGATGCAGTCCCATGGTAGCCGGTGACCAAAAATTGGTTCATACGCCATTTGTTCCCGCAGGATACTGGAGCCCATGTGCACCATTGGTTTGGGATCCGGTTAAAGCGCAGGACATTCGCTTTTCGTCCTCTCAATTTCGTAAATAACACCCCCGGCACGAAAAGGCAGTGAGTAGGACTTGCCTGGCAGAGGCTATATACGCGTGGCCATGTGAGAGCATTTGGAGAGGGAGAGCGGACTCCCCTCACTCTCGGCTGTACCAGGGCATTTTGGGAATATGAATCGATCCCAATTGTGGAATCGTTGAAAATCATAGATATAACTGTTGATTTAACTCCTTTGCTGCTCATCTACCTACCAGTTTAAAGAATAAAAATATGATCACCATAGTAAACAAACTGATAGTATAAACAGACACATTATTTAGTGAGAGATCATTTCCGATATTCTTAGATAAAGTGATGGGAAGATGTAATTGACTGGAAAAACTTTATTACAAATCTGACTATATATTTGCTTGTCAGGTTACTTTTTTATGTGCTAAGGGAAAAATCAAATAATTGAATAAAACGATAATGAAAAATATAAGTGTATGAGCATAGAACTTCTATGAAGTTCTCAGAATTGAGCATTGTGGAGGGATCAATGAATGTAAAGGATAAGAATATATTGTTTCTACACAAATAAATTATGCTTAAATTTTATAATGGCCAGAGCCTCCGCAAATCACAGATCTACATCCCTAATAGTTCTAAAAAAATACATTCAAACAGTTTGTTTACTTCAGTGTGCGATAAGGTCATTTCATTCCAAGTTCGATTGATCTTGTCAGCTATATATTACAGATAACTACCGTTCAACCCTTTTCATGTGTATATCACTGCTTCTCTCATTTCCATGAAATAATCCTAATGATACCCTACCATCTTATTAAATCATGTGATACTATTACCTACACGATCATAATGACTATGATATAAAATTACCTTAACTATGCAAATGATCTTACTTCAGTGATGACAGCTCATCATTTTGTCGAGTATCTTCTTCTTCACCTTCCGTTTCTATTTGACTTTCCAATTTTACTAATGATGAATGTTGTAAGTACATAAGTCATAATTAAAACAATCTACAGTACTTCTATTTTATTATCACTAATTATTTCATCAACTTTTCCATTCGTTTGTCAAAACAGATGAATTCCGGATAACAGTGAAATCCAGGATGTGTGTTTTGTTTTTCTTGGAACTTATATATGCTAAACATCAGTTCAGATGGCTGGGACACGTGTTACGTATGCTCAATCACCGACTGCCTCGACGTGCGATGTTCAATGGTATAGGAGTAGGTTGGAAGAAAGCTAGGGGCGGCCAGACCAAAAATACGACACAAATCCATGAAGTCACAGACAAGTGGACTGAGCCATGTTGGTAGGTGTATACTTTCTGGTTGCGATTCGCGAGGTGATAGCAACCGATGGTTAGAGACCCTGAATGACATAGCTGAAAATCGTTTGCAGTGGCGTGCGCTGGTGCATCCACTCTTTGTGTCCCCCCAAATTCTAATCTTCTGTATTCTTTATGTCCCTTTTCTTTTTCCCTCTCCAGATTTATTTCACTGTATTATACTCCTTGAATAAAATCTTCAAACCCTAATCTTTCTGATTACTGCTTATACTCTTACTACCTCTACCACTACGGGATTCGAATCGATGACTGCATCTCTGTGCTACTGTAGTATGGCAATTCTAACTGATGTACGTACTTATGAAGTTCTAAGTTGTTGTTGACTGATAAGGATATAAAAATAAGGATAATGTGTACGGACGGCCACAATTTTCTACGAAAACATCAGTTACTGGGGAAATGAAAACGAATCAATACTAACATGCTGTCCGAGTTGTTAAGGTCTAGTCAAAATCTAGGATGAATCGTGTCAGTGTATATTAATACTACCTCTACCACTACGGAATTTGAGTTGACAACTGCATCTCTGTGCTAATGTGGTATGGCAACTCGAACTGATGTACGTACGTACAAAGTTCTACGTTGTTACTGACTGACTGACATATATGCTAAAAACATATGAAACATGGCTATATTCAGATAATCTGCTTGGGATGCATATATCCCAACTGAAGCTAATCAAAAATGTAATCCCAAATATAATCAATAGGATAATTCTAACACTTCTATTTCCGTTCAATATTATGGTTATTCTACTACGATTTATGTGAGTAGATTTCGGAAACGAAATCATTAATGAAAAAGAAAACTGTTCTAAATATTCTCTCAACTAAATTATCATTACTCTATGAAGATGATTAAACTGCTTAAAACCAAGTAAATATTAAGTTGAATTAAATCTATCTAGTGAATAGCTCTTTATTGATGAAATTAATGTATTTTTCAAGCGAACCCAGCTGGCTCAGTCGGTAGAGCATGAAACTCATAATCTTAAGGTCGTGGGGTTTGAGCACCACATCGGGCGTAGTCCAGTGAGACAATGCACCGTGTCTGCTAGTTGTCAACTTTTGAGATCACCAGATAAGTATTAATGAGGTTAGACGCAGCGTATTAGAGAATGATGATAAATTAATCGATGAGGTTCTCAATCTTCATCGATTGCGATGGTTGGGCCACGTGTTATGTATGCCTGAACACCGATTACCATGACGCGCAATGCTGAATAGTGTTGGAGAGGGATGGAGGAATGTTAGGGAAGGCCAAACCAAAACGTAGGATCAGTTCTTGAAGTCCATAACTTCTAGATTGAGCCATGTTGCTAGATGCAGACTACTTGTTTGGGGTTAGCGTGACTATTGTAACCAATAGTTGGAGACTCTTGGTGACATGGCTCAGAATCGATCGATCACAATGGTGTCGGTGTATACACTCTTTGTCTTCCCTTAAGCTATGAGATTAAAATCGCCTCATATCTTTCTTTCTACGAATTAATTCTTTCTTCTTGTACTATATCCTTATACCCGGTCCTTCTTTTATAGATTACTACCATTGAAGTAACTACTATGAATTCAGTGTTGTGCTAATGGCAACTTGGACCGATGCATATATATGCCTGGTCCTACATTGTAGTTGAGTGATTTTTCAAGTGCAAATATACAAATTTATTAAGACATAACAAGCGTTATTATTATTATTGTTATTATTATTATTATTACTATAACGCTGTGACCCTATGTTTGTTTTCCTTACATACTGAACTATGAACAGACCTACACTTTATATACACAGTTATAGATAATGGAAATACATTGAGAAACTATGAAATCAATTCTGATCAAAGTTTATGATTGATGATGTACAAACTCTAAAGTATATACATAAAGCTTTTATAGATTAATACTAGGCTAAGTTCATAATTACTCTTGGTGGTAAGATATTTTAGGCTTTTTTTATAAGAGATTCAGAATGTTCATGTACTTAATAAGTAGTATAAAGGTCAATGAAACCATCAAAAATAAGATTTAACTTTGTATATTAAGGATAAACTAATTACAATCATCTTTTAACTTCGTTTCAATGTTCTTTTCTTTCTTCTGCAAATGAAAGTTAGATATTAAACAATATAAACTAGCAAGTTGGAAGTCTGTGAAATTATCGTAACCAATAGTTGAAAATATTGGAAGATATGGTTTAAAACTAGTCATAATACTCTGGCTATTTGTTCTGATAATTTCACATGATTGTATGAATTTGGTTTGATCATTTAAACCGATACGAATAAGTACCATATGATACATTCCCTGTAACGGACTGATATCAACGAGATTTGGTTGTTTACAGTTGAAAAGAATCGACAAATTATTTATGTTGGTAACTTCTAGTTCTTTATTAAGCAGAAAAAAAAGCTATGAAATTATTACTAATATCTTACATGTTGATAACGTGAACAAGTTTTAAGCATTCTATAATATTTTTCAGGCTGACTTCATGAGTCAATCTAATCTACAACACCATTGAAAACTTGGAAGCACTAGACGACCGTTTCGCCCTAGTATAGTACTCCTCGGTAGTGCGCATCCACAATCCCACACGCACCACTCGAATCCAGGACTTTCGGTCTCGCGCGCAACCGCTTAATCTCTAAACCACTGTTAACGTCTGACTTCCAACAATCCATGATCTTGCACAACCCTTCATCTATTGTCTGAAGTGGATAACTGTCTCAAATTCAGCACAGATTGGACTCCGCTGTCCATGGCTTCTCACTAGAACTCCAGGAAATCCATCTTGAAGCTATTCACTAGTGAGCACACGATTATTATCAATTTTGAGGAGTTGTGGAAATAAGAATCACATATCCAAGTTCACAAGATCAAAAACAATGCTTATCATCATGATTTCATTCAATATTCATGATAACAACTTACTAATTCTGACTAAAGTCATTGTCAAAATCATGAAATATTTACAGTCAGAAAGTTTGGCTAACTAATTCATTTAGCTTAAAGGTAAAAAACTAGACAGAAAAGGAAATAGTACATATAACTAGTCTTAAATAAGGCAAATATAATAATAATAATAAACGATTGGTCACATACCATGATACAATTTCATGATGAAGAATATCTTTGTTCACTTGGAATCTACAAGAAAAAGAACATCACAAGCATTTGATCAAATAATTTCTAAACACAGTCTACACATTAAACATATTGAAACGTATTGAGATAAGCAGTACATAACATAAGCAAGTGCACCCAGCTGACGAGTCCCAGATAGAACGAAACGCGCGTCCTGGATTCCACTGCTAGCCGCTATCCATCCCTGCTTAATAAGCAGTTGTGTTATAATAAGTAAAATTAAATTTTGACTTAATGATTTGAAAATTAACGAACTTTACATAACAAGATTTGAAAGTTTCAGAGTCCTAATTCTTTACAGTCTGACTGCACTACTGAAGAGTTGTATACTAGGAGGAAACAATTATTTAACACTCTTTGATTTACAATGATTTTCCGGCTGAAATTCATCTGTAACACAAGAACGATCCCACGAGACAACAATAATAGTTACAGTTTTCAGTAGTACGAAATAACTGCCTGAAAAGTCCTACTGACTGCCTTCTCACGAAAGGGTTGTTATTCACGAGATTGAGAGGACGAAAAGCGAATGTCCAGCGCTCTAACCGGGTTGGTGGACATGGAGATTCCACCTAGGCGAGTTGGAAAACCCTGAATACAAATCAATGGTGCACATGGGCTCCAGTATCCTCAAGGAACAAATGGCGTATGAACTAATCGTTGGTGACCGGCTACCATAGGAATGCATCTCCTGACTTCGCTCCACTGCCTTGTGGATCAGACCTTCAGGTCGAAGGCTCCGGCTGTGGCCCCCTAAGAAAACCACCTGCTTCGGTTTGGGCACCCGGGCAGTATCACAGCCCTCACACATATCAAATGAGATTTGTGTGGCGTATATGTATTTGGTGCCTCTTTGTCCCAATATTTATATGCTCAAATAAATAAATAAACAACGAAATAACTCGGTTACTTAATTAAATGGAAAAACATTTGGATAAAGCGAGTAAAGAGATCCTAGAAAGTTTTTTTGATTTTGTACACGGTGAAACTGTTGTACGGGACTAACGTTGTAAAAGTTGGAACTGGTTTTCGAATTTTTATTGTTATATATATACTTACTGTATAATTACTAAGTAACTGAATGACTACACACACATATATATATTGAAAGTAGAGATGGTTGGTGGCTAGCACTGGAATACAGGCCGCGCGTCTCGTCCCATTTTTGAATCTTCAGACGGATGTGCCTGAATCCCAGAGTTGACGTTCGCCCCAGGGCTCGAACACAGTACCTTTAACTTCGAACGACAACGCGGCATTATCAAGGCGATCCGTACAGGATGCATATATGCCAAAAAGAGATTAATCGATTCCGGGCTTAAGCATGAATGGGAAGATCCAAACAACTAATACAAATAAATGTATATATTCTGTTTATCAAAAGCTTTTGTTTAATCCATTAACTATTATTATACTATATTCCATTTCTAATTTGTTGTCAGTTTATTACTTAAAGCTTGTCCCATTAATGACCACCTTCAGCTCGTTTATGTATGGTCATTATTCCTTGTTTTATGGTGTGATGAAGTCCAGTATGCATGTATATAAGCCTAAGTACGCTTGGAATACATATAAGGTAGAAACCGGCTGCTAACTTTTCGAGCTCAAGACAGGGACCTAGGGAGAAGCCTCCTTATAACAAACCAACAGGAACTTTGCTGCGAGGGCTCAAGATCAACGGTGCTAGTCTAGCGTATAATTGATCAAGTCTGTGACAGTAGACCATAGAAGAAATAATACAACAAAAACACTTAAGAATTATTTATAGAGAAAAGATAGGAGAATGGGGTAAAGCATTTACAACCTTGTGAGCAAGAATTCTCTACGCAAAAACCTCTATTCTTGAAAAACTAATTAATTAGACTTACCTTTCAATCCCATAGAATTTAGCTTCTGGAGTAGGACGATGACTGTCTGTGTTTACACCACACTGTTATGATATTGATTCAAGACAAATTTTCAAGAATTGGAAAACAGAAAAATGTCGAGTTCCAATTATTTTCAAAATATAAAGATATTGATTTCCTACTAGATTTGAACAAGTATAGAAGTAGTAGTATACTTGGTATGTGGTATAGGACTAGGATTCAGAAAACGCGTTTCATCTTACTTGGGACTCGTCAGCTGGGTGTTGATATTTAAACTAGGACTCGAACCAAATGTTTAACTTGCAACTAAAGACTATATCGAGGCCATTCACTCAGGACGCAAATACATTAATAAAGACTGGCCAATTGCAGTCCTAAACATGAATAACCCTGAAATCGCAAACAATTACTAAGTATAGAAGTAGGCTGGGAAAAGGTAAGTTGGCTACAGTGATTAATATTAGACCTGGGTCATATAAAAGACTATTGTCTTTGTAAATGGGACTCAAGAACAGGACTTCTTCAATGAACAAACTGACAACTATTGAGGATGATTTTCAATGGAATTCATATAAGCCGATGTTTACAAATAGAATATACCATGAATGAGTGTATTATGATTAAGAATTAGGGTTAAGTTGACCTAAATTGATACTTATGAAGTGAATTGTAAATCCAGCTAAGAAATGAATGAGGATTAGGCATAATCAACAAGAAATTCAATCAAGTGAAAAAATATATAAGAAAACAAATAAATGGATTCAGTACCAAACAGAAACAAAATCAGTATTACTTACTAAGGTTAGCAGAAGCGTAGCATTCCATAAGCTCAAATATGAAGCAATCTAAAAGTAAAATGTGCTTAAGTCAATAGAGTATATATGACAAGAAGAAACACACACAAAAAAGATTATTCAGATAACTGTCTATTTGTAGCATAGAAGAAATAGTACAATACAACTATCCATATATGCATCACAATAATGGGGTATTTTCGCAAATCATAACTACTATTTTCTGTAGTACTATGTGATGTATTGAACTTATCAGAAAGTTACATGATTTCTCTCGAAGTTGCATTGTAGGTCAAATACAGCAGTGCCCACCCAATACTTGGGATTAAATGGTTGGTGAAAGTTGTGTAGCGTAGCGTGGTAAAGTTGCAGTCGTTCTATATCTTCTAAATATCATTTTATATACTCCATTATTCAATCTAATATGTTCCATTTGAACTGTACCAACCATGTTTAGAAATTGCTGGTAAAGCTTTAGTCAGTGAAACCCAGTTCGAATGTGTGCCCCATCCGTTTGAAGTACAAAGATCAAACGATTGACTAAAAACTTCATTTCAGATATTTTAACAACCCTCTATTTTTCGGACCGAGTACCTATGGTATTGTCTCAGACTATGTAGCTCGACGATCCGGGTTCAAATCCTACAGGGAATATCAGTGTCTTGGAGACGGTCGTACCCTTCACTGAGAAGTAACAACTAGCAAGAAACCTAGGTTCAGAGTTTTCTGCCGACTACTTACAACCAATTAACATACTAAAACTATGTTTCATAAACAAGTATTACAATATACACTTGATCACTAGATGGCGAAAAACTAGATTTGCAGATAAACTCGAGGTGCTGAATAGGTTTATGTACGTGTATATTGGAGAGAACTTCAAAATACCCTAGAACGACACATCATTTCGTTTATAAAGATACGAATAGTAGATTACGATTATGTGAATTGAAAATTGTAGTTTTCCATTACTGTGATGATACAAGGTAAGAGTTGAATACTTCCGGACACTGGATGAAATCATAAAATCAATAGTAATGGCGTAATTGTATTAATTCCTGATACTTACTTAAATCTTAACCACTGCATAATTCTATATCTCTGTGTTTTTGTTAATTCATATCTATATCATCTATTTACAAGTCTGCTTCGGCCGTTTTGTACTTGACAACAAAGTTCATGATGGAAATATCTGTTTCATCTTATTTTTGGCAGTGACTTGTCAGTTGGATTTATTTACATAACAATGTATCGACACCCTTTCTGATAGTTGTAACTCAAAACTGTTAAGTACCAAGGTTTTATATAACATACTATTAGGTTCTACAGAATCCAACTCTTGTTCAAAAGATAATAATTGCTATTTGGATACCTATGGTAATAAGAAGTACTCTAATTAACGTGCTAAGAATTCCCGGAAAAGTGCAATTTAAGGCAGGTAGAACTAGTTGAACACGAATAAACGTATTTTATATGTAATTTTTAACCAGAGGGCAATCAGATACAAAAGAATCATTAGTTTGTACAAATACCACAGCCGCTACAGCTTAAACGGGAATCCAAATTTTCGTAATCGATTATACTTCTCCTTAGATTCATCATTTATCTCTTTGGATGTATATTGGATAGACTTTGTATGGTCTAGAATGCACTCATTAGTTTTAGAATTAACAGCAGAATCACCTAAGTCATTGTAACGTATTTGGTTGTTGTGACTGGTTCGCAAACCATAGATTTATCAACCACTTTTAGCAGACCTTTCGTAGCTTGTGGAAAACCAGTTATTGTACGAAGATTTTCTTGTTTAAGCGATTTCATGATTGTTTATTTTGCATACGGTCTGGTGATTCCGCACTGAAGAACTTTATCTCCTCTCCTCTCCGGGTCTTTGAATTTTGCAGCAGTAATAAAATTGATCTATGTTTTCAAGATCTTGACATTTCTTTCTTGAGCATCAAAATAAGAGGGCTTCGAAATTGTGCGTAATTCTTGGCACTTCGATTCCATAGTTAACAAGTTATCAAGCTTTTCATCAGAACTGTCTTTATTGGTCAATAAGCAAAACTGACTTTGAGGTAGTATCAAATGTTCTAGACCCAGGATAGACGGTTCACAGTCAGTGATGAGGAATTCACAATCTAGGATTTAAGATTTGCCGCTCGTAATCAGTAAATTACAACACCGAAGAATAGGAAGTTTATGACCATTAATACTCAAAATAAACTTTGGTAGGCATAATTATAGCGTAGGGATTTAATAACATCAACTTTCCAACTGACATGATAGATTTGATACTACCAGTGTCAACAATAAAATCGTGAAAAGCACCACTGGACAAATATGATCGTTTTTGAATCAGTCAGTCAGTCAGTCAGTAACAACGTAGAACTTCGTACGTACGTACATCAGTTCGAGTTGCCACACCACATTAGCACAGAGATGCACTTGTCGATTCAAATCCCGTAGTGGTAGAGGTAATAAGAGTATACGCAGTAATCGGGAAGATTAGGGTTTGGAGATATTATTTAAAGAGTATAATCCAGTGAAATAAATTTGGAAAGAGGAAAAAAGGGACATGAAGAATTCAGAAGATTAGAATTAGGGAGAACACAGAAAGTGGATGCACCTGCGCCATTGCAAACGATTTTGAGCCATGTCGTTTTTGAATATGAATTGAATTACTGGAAGTTGTAAATAAGGATAGTATATGATTATTAGAATCGCCAAAATTAATAGGATCCGAACTACAAAGTTTAGTATTACTTGCGGCAACATGAATAGTAGCTTTACAGACCGATTTGATGTGTCCCATTTTATAATACTTAAAGAATTCGGCATGACGAAGGATGCATGAATTAGGTAAGTGAAGTTTACCACAGGATAAGCACTTTCCATTCCTGTACTCAACTCTGCTTTGAAATTCTTTGCTGAATCAATTTTCATATTTCCACGAGAATGGAAACTACCATTAAATAAACGCGAGTTTGAGCGACCCGCGACCTGTTTCTGTGGTTCTAGTATAGAGTCCACAACTTTCTGATCATTTATTCGCATTATTTTATGAGACTTTGATCACTTTCTGCTTTCAAAGCTAGCACACTGAACATGATTAAGTAGTAACGCACCACATTTCGAACCGATCCATGTAGTCTTCAAAGTCATCCTCACTTAAATTAATATCCAAATGTATAAGATTCGACTCAATTGCAACCCCAACATGATAATTAGAAGTGTTCGAATTAGTGTGATAACTAAAAATGCCCGAAATAGTGCAATATAAGGCAGGTATAACTAGATGACCACAACTGGACATATATTTGAAATTCATAGTAAGCGCCCAATCAAGTACAAAGGAATTATCAGTTGGTAAAAATACCACAACATCACATTTTTAATAAAAACTAGATTACCTAAGCAATATGAACTAAGTTCTTCGTTGTTCTACTCACTTTTATAGATAACCTTGAATAATTTGTTTTAATTCACAGTAAATGAATTTATCTTGATCGATATCCTTTACAATGAATAACACTAAGTGATTTTAGCTAGACATCTATTTACTTCTAATATGGAACTCATCCAAGGCATAATGGGTACCCACTAAATCCCCATAGATGGAGTCCAGTAAACATCGGGTCTCGTTCAGTAAGTGCATTTTGCTTATAGATCAACAAATTAGTTTATATTACAAACTTGAGTCAATCTGCCAAAGTCGGTCTGTGATGTGAATTAAAAATTAAACATAAATCTCTTATGTTAATGAAAATTTCTTAAAAATAATTCTGCAAAACATTTTCCAGCAAGATTACCTCATCTGTATAGTGAGTTTCATCTACATTGTATTTTTTTGAAAATTGTTCAAGCGAAGCTAATTCACCGTCGTATATAGTAGCTTCTTCTGGTATTTTTGGGATAAAAAGTGTAGAACGTCCAGTAGCCACTTCAATTGTCCCATAACAATCTGGTTCGAGAACACCGAAAGCCCAATGGAAGAATGATTCCTATTTCGAATTAAATAAAAATACATGAATTATGACCATAACTTACGCTTAGATTAATAATAATAATAATAATAATAATAATAATAATAATAATAATAATAATAAGAAGAAGAAGAAGAAGAAGAAGAAGAAGAAGAGAACAAACGTTGATACTCCTTTGTGGAAATACGATAATAATTTCCTCTAGAATGTGTTTTTGCAGTTTTCATAGTGTAAGCTGGAATATTTCCACAGGTTGAGAGGCCATATTTCACCACAAAGATCACCTTGCTAATATTTCATTATCTCATCTTTTATATAAGTTTTCCAGGATTAACACCAAACTGTATACACTGACATAAGCAAAGACGGATAGTGGCTAGCAGTGGAATCCAGGACGCGCGTTTCGTCCTATTTGGGACTCGTCACCTGGATGTACCTGCATCTCGGAGTTGATGTTCACTTTGGGACTCGAACCCAGTACCGTTCGCTTCAAACGCCATCGCGTTATCCACTTAGCTACTGAGTCCTGATAACCGAAAGAAAGCGAATCCTGGATTCCACTGCTAGCCACTATCCATCTTTGCTTATGATCATTGTAAATTAAGGCAATATAGAGGCAATAAACACAGTATGCACATATGCCAATAATTGATTGATCAACTTCAGTCCTAAACATCAATGGGAAGATTCAAGTAAAACAATACCAAGTCAATTAAACTTCATCCGACTGCACAATCAAGTGGCTATCTGGACGTATTCGATATTATATAAAAAAATAATCAAAGTAGAGGAAAACTTTCAAGTGATGTTGACCAACGGTGAATAGTCTATTCGACTATTCACGTTCGTTAGTGATGTATTTCCAAGCGATAGCTATTCCTTCAGTATATATATATATGCAGAAAGTTGACGATATTATTCTTCCTAGACTGTGAAAGCCTGATGCTCTCCTAAACTATGTTGTAAGTGTTACTATCAGGGGTGAAATTATAAATGCCATAAAATCCAACAAATGATCCATACTTTGGTTCTACCTAAATGCAATTTTTTATTAGAGGACCAATGAACGGTATATCACTTATGATTGAAGTTGGACGAAAACCTGTTACAGTCTAGTTTAAGCAAATGAACCCCTGATATTTTCGTTTAACAATTGACTTTAAAAAATAGGTTATTAACAAGGTTTCTATTTTACTTCAGATAAAATGTCTAGTTTGAAATTGACGCCGCTGACAGACATGTATCTTGGTAATAGTAGTGATTTCATTCTTTATTCCAAACCAAACCCAACAGTCCCAAATAAAGAACAAATAACTGACGAGAAGACTTGGAAAGAAAATGTACCCATTACGCTAGCCCTTTACTTTGACTGATAGAGAATGAAATCAATTATTTCAAAGTAATTGCTTTGAGTCTCACGAAGAACTAATATTCCTTCAGAATAATACACCAGTGTATAGGGTCTGTTAACTAAGTCTTAGTCTAATTACAGATCAGTATATATATACATCGATTTGTGTCTACCCACAGTTCTACTTATAAATGTCGATGTACTAATTTTTATCATTTTGAGGATATTTGACAGCTAGTTACACAGTAAATATACTTACATAACTTCTAGATAATTAGTTGTAAAATAGTACTTTGCTCTATCCACTGTAGTGGTTGAGGTGGAACTCGAACCTGTGATTTAGTGGCTGAAAGTCGAATACTTTAACCACTAAACTCTTAGACTATGCAATAGCACATAAATCAATAGCTTATAAAATCATGAACACAATAACTACTCTACACACATGTACAGTGCTTAGTTATGGTTAACTTCGTAATCATAATAACCACGTGGTAATAAGTGTACCTGAATTGTCAATTTTCATTGAAGCAAAAAAGATTGTGCTCTAAGCAGGAAAAACATTATAATCATTCTATGCCCAAAATTAGATGAAACATGTGGGATTATGAGAATAAATGTCTGTCACAGATCCTACGCATGCATTTTTAAAAATCATATGAAATGGACCTACCTGACGAAATACATTGGCAGCATCCGAATCTCCCAGAAAGGTATCAGTGCCACCCTGTAGCACAACAAACACACCAGAAAGGTTGTGTGTGAGAGATTTGCTAGTATCAAGCGAAAATATTTTGTCCCGAATGCGATTGCAAAGACGCTGACGATTGGCTACATGCAACTGCATCGGAACGGCAAGACATTTACCCAACTGAAAAATAGGAGCTGTTCGACTTACAGCACCTGAAGCCATCTTAAAAAGTAGACAAATTATGTTGCTTGTTGAAAGAAAACGAAAGTAAAAAAAAGCTTTCTCAATGAAATGTTTATTTACACAAAGTACAAATGTTAGTTGTTTTTAAGCATATCCGACAAATCTGAAGAATCGTACTTAAGACGCATCCGATATATATGACTCATAAGAGCTGACCTAGTAAAAGAAAAGTAAAAAGCCACTAGTAATGTAGAGGTACCTATCGTTTTGATTGACTACTCCTAATCGAAGTAGCCACTCATCCGTCATCAGACGTAAACACATCCCTTAAAGAAAGAAATGTCAGCGCTAGACGAAATAGTTACCATTAATCCTGTTTTTTTCAAACAGTTCAGAGTATTTTGCACCGACTGGACTGGCATATTTATGTAACCATTTGACAACATCTTCAGGAGTCCAATTTAGTACATGCCTATTTTTCTTTGCCTAAAAACAAAATCTCGTCAACTAGGTTCACGTACAGTCATAGAAGTGTGGTATTTAGAAACCAAAAAACCGAGATGAAATCAAGCAGATGGTTCATCACAGCGCCGAATTATTAGTTTCATCTAAATAGAATTCATCAATTAGACAAAATGTAGGATAAAATATCAGCATAATATAAATCAGTTAAGCAAACGAATCCTCAGGAAGTTGAAGAAGATTTATATTAGTGCTCACACCATATAGCCTATAATACAATAGAGTTGTATAATCACTCAGAATTATTGATAGCAGATCGAATATTCATATTGTTCTCAAAAAACACTGAGCATAAGATTGGTGCTTAAAAACAACAACTAATATTAGTTGTTGTTATATACATAACACTCAGAAGCAAGTAATTCGACAGACAATACAATGAACCCACTTGCGTAACGCATACAGTCAAATATGATTCAGATTCAGATGTGTGTATTAAGAACAGAAGGCTTACGGCCTATGCTATTCCTTTTCTAGTATGCTTCTGTGAGTGTCCAGTCTTCTCTCGAAAGAGTCAATTGAAGGTGCAGACACCACTGCTTCAGGCAGCAGGTTCCAAGTTGATGACTCGGTGTGAAAACCTGTATGCCACGGGTATTTTGTTCGTTCTTGGCTTTTCTACTCGCCTGCTATGTCCTCTGAGGTGTCCCGATATTCAACAACAGGATTAATAGATTTTTATATTCACCACCATTACTATGACCTGAAGAAAGCGTAATGCTTTTATCTTCTTGTTAAGAAGCCACTTCGAGTTTCAGCTGTGCCCATGATCAGTCACTTAGTAGCTATAATACAAGAGGATTGCAGTTTGTCTCCAGCGGTGCAATTATGGAAAAACTACTATAGCAGCAGTACGTCACAGATGTGGCAACGAGAGTTCGCTACCTCGTCGATACTGGCTCAGAAGTTAGCGTTCTCCCAGCGAATTCTAACGACCGGCTTCACGAATCGGTTTTAAACTTACAGGCGGCAAACGGTAAGCCTACCGCTGCGTATGGGTAAAGGTAAGTTTAACTTAACGTGGATTTACGCAAACCCATTCATTGGATTTTCGATGTAGACGTTTATATGCCAATCATTGGTATAGACCTTCTACAATATCATAATCTACTCATAGATATGCGCAAACGGAGGCTAGCAGACTGAAACACTAATTTATCCGTTTGCGTAACTTTTTTTTATGGTTGCAGATTATTTCCAATCACAATTAGGCATACGATAGACCCATTTTATCAACCACTACTCCATAAGTACCCTTGGATACAACAAAGGTGACGGAAATTACCGTGTGTAACCAGCAACGTCACATAAAACATCACGACAACAGGACCACCTGTGTTCTCTAAAGCACGACGACTAGCCCCCGAAAAGCTAAGGTTGGAGAAAAAGGAGTTCGACCACATGATAGGATTAGGTATCGTAAGACCGTCAAACATGGTCCCTAAAAAGGACAGCAACGATTGACGTCCATCTGGTTACTATCGGCTTTTGAATGCGAAAACCATTCCTGATCGTTACCCGTTGCCTTACATTTACTATTTGACAGCTACCTTGAAAGGTACAACTGTCTTTTCGAAAATCGACTTGGTTAAAGCGTATAACCAACTTCCCATGGCCACTGACGACATTCCGAAAACAGCTATCATAACTCCCTTCAGACATTACGAATTTTCGCGAATGCCCTTCGATCTAAGGAACGCTACACTAACCTTCCAAAGGTTTATAGACGATGTCTTTCGAGGTCTCAACTTCGTACATGCGTATGTTGACGACTGTCTAATAGCAAGTCCGGACAGAGAATCGCATCTCAGGCATCTAGATCTTGTTTTCGATCGACTACAAAAACATGGCATTACTGTGAACATTCAGAAATGCCAAATCGGAACTGACTCATTAAACTTTCTAGGACATACTATCGATGCCCAAGGCATTCGACCCCTCAAAACCAAAGTGGCGGCCACTCTGGATTACCTAGAACCGACCACGGTCAAGCAACTACGAACGTTTAACAGCCTCGTAAGTTTCTATAGACGATTCATACCTAAATGCGCGTTATTTATGAAACCCCTTACCGACCAACTTCGTGGAAATGCGAAATCCATTAATTTGGACGACACCGCACGAAAAGCATTCTCCACAGTTAAGGAACTTATCGCTAAAGCAACAATGCTCGCACATCAGGACACTCAAGCACCCACTGGCATCGCAGTAGACGCATCCGACTCAGCAATCGGAGGAGTCTCACAACAATGGGTTACCAACTCCTGGCAACCTTTGGCATTTTTCTCTAGATGGTTGCTAGACACCGAATCGAGGTACAGCACATTCGGTAGGGAACTCCTAGCTATGTATTGTGCTGTACGGCATTTTCAACACTATATCGAAGGCCGCGAATTTACCCTTTTCACTGACCATAAACCGCCTACCTTCTCTTTAAGCTCTTCTTCTGACAAGTACTCTCCCAGTGAGTCTCGACAACTGGACTACATTTCGTAGTTTACTTCAAACATCCAACACATTTCTGGAGCAAACAATGTAGTCGCAGACGCGTTATTTCGAATAACTTCCTTGAACAGTTTCCAAGGAATCGACCTTCTTAAACTCGCACAGCTTCAAAATTAAGACACTGATTTTCAGCACGAGTTATCGTCTACGACCCTCAAGCTACGCATCAAACAGATGGGAACAGGTAACGAAACCTTACTTTGTGACACGTCTACAGGTAGGGATCGCCCAACCGTGCCGAAACATTATCGACGCAATGTCTTCAATACCTTGCACAAACTTTCTCATCCAGGTGTTCGTGCAACCATCAAGCTTATAGTAGAACGGTTTTGCTAGCCTGGCATGAATAAAGACGTGAGGGATTGGGCACGCTCCTGTGTAAGCTGCCAAAAATCTAAGGTCATCAGACACAATAAATGTCTCTTAGGCTCATTTAAAACTCACGGTGCTCGTTTCGACCATATTCATCTGAATTTGGTAGGACCTTTACCAGATTCAAATGGATATTCTTATCTCTTGACCTGCGTAGACCGTTTCACTTGATGGCCAGAAGCAGTACCTATCAAGGACATCACAGCTGAAACAGTGGCCCCTGCCTTCGTCGAACGATGGGTAGCAAACTTCGGCTCCCCTTCAACTATCACTACAGACCGCGGGCGTCAGTTTGAATCCGAACTTCTCCGTCGTATGACCACACTTTTAGGAATTACTCGCTTCCGAAAGACAGCCTAACACCCACAAGCAAACGGGTTGGTGGAACGTTTTCACCGACAACTAAAATCTTCACTATCAGCTGCAAACGTTTCACAGTGGACCGACGCTCTTCCACTCGTCTTACTAGGTATCCGTAATGCAGTGAAAGCTGACATTGGATACACTGCGGCTCAACTCGTTTTTGGAACGACACTTCGACTTCCAGGAGAATTCGTGGATCTGTAGAACTATGGTCTACTATGATATTAGTACTGCTCTAATAATAGACCTAATCCTAAATTTGTAGATTCGTCATATAACTGCCTAATCTATAAGATCTTACGTGGAAGTCACACCATCGACTACACCAACTCACTGTATCGTATAAATTACCAATACATGATGTAGAACAAGGTTAGGCTAGAGAAAGAACAACATATTTAATATGAATAGAAGATATAAGATAACATTCGGCAGAGACCACGCCTGCATGGCCGAGCCATGCCACTCGACCAACTCCAGACCATTCAATTCATTGTTCGCGCCTTCTCCATTCTTAGGTATTTATCCGCGTTAAATATTGAATATCTATTTTCTGAGTAGTCTTGTGTTCAGCTTTGAAGATTGTGTGGTTATGGTCCAATGCCACTACACTACTCTCCCACCAGAATCAACGTGATGTTGGTTCGATACCAAATTGGATGGGATCGTCGCGCGCCGGAGGTTACCGAGGATAATAAGAATCCTCCGGGTATTGATAAGCTGAAAGATAAATCAAAAAGGAGGCGGCAGCATCTGGTCAGGAAATACATGTAGTAATTTTAAAATATCTACCTTCATGCTTAAAACGCTTGAAATGAAAATTTGGGTGAAGATTATTTTAACTATAAAGAATGGCATAATAATAATAATAATAAAACGATGCGTGTTAATAGCCGTTGGTTAATAACTTAACGTATAGGTAGTAAGTATTTTGTGTTTAGAAATATTAAAGTAATGAATATTGTAGAAATGTTAATATTGGTATTAGTTTTGGTTTAAATTATGAAACCAAATAACGATTACGCCGGTAAGTTGTCCATATGAGTTGAATTTCAATTGCATATGTATTAGTAGGCTAACTGAAGGAACAAAAATATTACCGTGGAGAAGAATTCCAACTAGTGTTCCAGTTAGTTTGATACGGTTTATTTAGTTACGGGGAGATTTTCTCAACCTCAATTTTACTTGACCGTGATAGAATTTAGTAATACTACTAATACACATGAATGGTTATCAAAATAAAATTTAAATACATGAGTGATAATTATATGAATTTT